TTGGTTATCTGACAGAAAGAGATCGGTGGAAGATTGGATCGATAGGGTTCTCAGCACAAGCTTTGTCGAAGCTCGGCAGAGGTGCCACCTTACCGGTCACTCTCTATTGAAACTTGTCACTTGTGAAGGCCGCCTTATGGAACAGCAAGCTCCTGGAGTCTGCCTTCCGGCAAGAATAAATGTACAATGATCTTGCCTAGATATCCTTGTATTTATTATGTATAATGTAGTTTTTAGCATCTTAAAAGGTTTGTTTGGCCAGGTAATTTCATAATTTTTGTTGGCTCCTTTTGCACATTATATGTGTTGTATTAATTGCATATAATATAATGCATAATATTCTTAGTCACACGTATGAACCAGTTGTCTTTTTTTTCTAGCTAGATTTTATTCCTTGTACTTTCTTTAAAACAAATAAAAAGATTGATTTTTTTTTTTTTTCTTTTTCACTTTTCTATAATATTTCTTAATTATATTTAAGCCTATGGTTAGAATATCCAACTTAGGTAAAATGGGGTTTGTGTGTGTGTGAAGAAAACCGGTAAATAGATCATTTAAGTATAAATGGCCCGAACTAACTCGAACATCCAAAGGAACTCAAACTGGGCTTAACTTATTTAGTTTATCTGTATTCAGTTTCCTATTCAGGTCCAAAGATGCTGCTCTAATAATTTTTAGGGCAGGGCCCATTACATTTGTCAGGCTCATGCCCTTTATATTGTTAGTTGGGCTACCAAGTCATTAACAACCCAAGTACTTAGACCCTGATTGGCCCAACTATAAAAAAAAAGTTTTCAATAATCCTGAAAACAAAACAAAATTTTGAAAAAAAAAAAAAAAAAAAAAAAAAACATCTAACTGCTCTGTGTTTCAGCATACAAGGAGAAAAACTTAATTGCACCTGTTGTAGTGTTCAATGGGTGCATTTGGACCGTTTCGTGTAATACACATGTCCACCCGTGTATTACACAGGGACGGAGAATATTACTTTGTGTCCCTTTGAAATTTAATTTTTTTCAAAAATACCCTTGAAAATGAAATTTTTTCACACATATCGATATATAATTTATAAATTACTACTTTTTGCCTCCACTAAAACTAAATCCTGGCTCCGTCGTCGTGTATAAACAAGTGAATGCGCCAATTGTAGGCAAAGAAGTTTTTTTTCTCAGCCTATGTGTTTTTATTTTATTACATTAAATATCACTAATTTGTTTCTATTGCATTAAAGTGATTATATTGAGTAATTTTTTAATTTTGAGTTTTTTTTTATTATTATTTATTAAATTTACATTCATATACTACAAGTCATTTTTATTACACTAGTTATACTTTTCCAGCCCTTTCCTTTCATGCTATAAATCATAAAATGGTAGTTTTGTTATTAAGAGTGTAGTTCAAGTAAAAACTCACATCATTTAGTTTTGTTATTAAGAATATAGTTCAAGTAAAAACTCACATCATTTTGAGCTTTTCAAATTATTCGAGAATTTAAAATGGTTAGAGAGTGAGTTAAATTTTCGTTATTTTTATGAAAAAGAAAAAAAAGATAATTGGAGGATTCGAATTTCCCACTCTGCTTTATTTTTATTTATTTATTTATCAACCTATAGTTGAGACCATGTAATAATTATTCTATTTAATGGGGCTGTGTACTCATTAATGGAGTGGCAAAGAAATCAAAGGGAAGGAAAAGGACATTTTAGTTTTTGTAATAAAGTCTACTTGGGTTGCTCCAATTGATTGTTGCTTCGTGGGTCCTACATTACCCACAATCTGCAATCCTTGGTGTCGTGATGTGTTGGTGGGGTCCCCAAGCGACGAAACACACTAGACTTTTCTCAACTTTGACACGTTTACCATAACATTTAATTGACCATAGCACACAATCTTGACCGTCCGATGTTTGACGTGTTGATAGATCAATGCTTATGGATGCATTGGGCCCAGCCACGTAGATCTACGGATGCCTCAAAAGTCATCAGTCTAAAATATACATCGTTAATAAAAAAAATGCTAGAATTTCAAATGCCTGTTTTTTAAGTGTATATTGAATTTTTTTCAATAACAACACCATATTTAAATACGAGAAATATGTTAATTTAATTCATGTGCAATCTTTTTAAAAAAAAATATAAAATCAAAACCTTAATTTAAGGGATAACTCATGATAAGTTACAGTGAGCTGCAACTCATCAAAGCCTTGCTTTTTTAAAATCTGAAAAAGAGTAAAAAAATTTAGGTCAAGCAACTCATCAAATGAAAGACTTGCTTTTTTAAAATCTTAAAAAAGAGAGGAAAAAAAAATTAGGTCAAGTTAGTATTAATTTTTCATCATCAGCAGCACTAAAAGCCATGTGTGGTGACTCATAAATCTTTATCTCCACATAAGCTTAAAAAAATAAATTTAAAAAAAAAAGAAAAAGAAGATTCTGAATCCATTAATTTCATATTAATGAACTTGATTATTCACAGAGTTAGTCGACAGTTACTAAACTCAACTTATGTGGAAAAGGTGATGGATCATGAAATCATGATGACATCATATAATATGACTTATTATTCATCTCACAGAAATTAAATTCGATAAGTGTTAAATTATATTCTTAAATTATTATTTTTATTCATATTATTATAAAAGATAGCACAGTGCAAAACACTCTCGTCACTACATGTTTTTTGAAAGGTTTGATGTAAATAATTTTACTTTCATAGTGCGGAGAATGTATTTTTTAATTTTTTTGTTATGAATCCGTGAGTCTAGATTATAGCGTAACAATCTTATCACTGCACCAAGACAATGGTGTTAATTATTGTATTTATCTTTGTTGGAATTTGGATCTTCTTGCTGCTGCCGTTGTTTGAAGGCAATTCTTTATTTGGGCTGCTTTCTCTCGTTGGTTTCGATTAAAATTTGTTGGTCTTCTCTTACATACTCATTTTGTTTCATGTGTTCCTAGTTGGTTTTGGATCTTTTTTGGGTGAGAGGACATGTTTCTAGTTTGTTATTTCTATATATTATTGTTTTGTATACTTGTCTTTTCTAATAATTCAAACTTATCAAAAGGAAGAAAAAAAGAAAATTCTCATCTCCATTCTTATCCATTTGTGAGGAAAATGTTCTCTGGTCCTTGTCTTGGAGCTAAAATTCTAATTCCTTTCCCATTCTATTCAAGTTGCTATTACTCTAAATTTATATGTAGTTGTACGAGAATAAGGGTTCGTTCGTCGACCACAGCTGCTTTATGCTTTTTGCTTTGATTCAAAAACAAAAATAATGTTTCTGTTTTGGAATATGTTCAGCATTATTTTGAAACTTGTGTTGATAACGTAAATTTGTTACAATAATTTTAGAAGCAAAAACATGAAAGTATATTTGATAAAAAGTGTTGCAAGTTTGAAATTTTGAATGAGTAGTTAAAAAATTATTATAGAAATTTTTTTTTTTGAATAGTGCTTTGCTACGATGCGGAAGCAAATAAAAACATTATTTTGATGCTTCCGATTTTGACCTTAATTTTTAAAACGTTTTGATACTATTCAAATGACAATAAACATTATTAAACATGCTTTGTGTTTTTGCTTCGCAATAATATACTAATAAAAACAAAAAATACGAAACAAAAGTGTTAGCCAAACGGGCCTAAATTCTATAATTTTGTTGATAACTTTTATGAGATTCACTTCCTCACAATTCTATTCATTGAGTTGAGACTTCCAGTAACATTACAATTCTAGCCATTCATCAGTTTAGACTTCTTATAGCAGTTTTCATGCTTATAAAATTTAATTTCATATGAATGGAGTCGCCAAATTAATTCTCTTTCTTCAATTTATTCTATTACGTGTTTTTTCAATCTATTATACTTAGTTTTTTTAAATTATTAATTTCATTCATATATATTTTTGCCCTCTCCATCTCTCATCTTTGAGATGAAGACAAATAATATTCCTTATTGGACACGAGCGTCTCTAGATTTTCCACGTGTATATTCAAATTATTTAATTTGATTGGTGTATAGTATGAATTTCAAATTAAAAAAGATTTAGAATATTTTACAATACGATCATGAATTTTCTTTCTATCAACTTTTCAAAGAAGAGGAGGAATATCAAAAAGAAAAAAAATATAATAAAAAGGACATGCTTTTCATTTTAATAGATCCTAGTAGTCTGTCTTATCAATGAAAAAATTTATTACTCCGTATATTTTTATTTATTAATATAACTTTATGGTCTTATAAAATAAGACTTTTTAGACTTTAGTGATCTTTCTAGAACAAAAAATATATAGGGAGTATATCAAAAGAAATAAAAAAGAAATAAGAGAGTGATAAAATAACATTACACTGAAATATGCTAATGCCAATATCAAAGGAGTGATAGAATAACAAGCACCTGACATGCTCCACCATGACAATCACCTTCACCGTATTAAAGGACTATTAAGTATAGGGCACGTTTAAAAATAAAAAAAAAAACAAATCTTTGGTTCTCATTATTAAAATTTAAGACAAAGTTAATATAAATTAGTCAATACAAATTACGTATCAAATTAAAAACAGAGTCGTGTATAGTAAGATACGGCGAAACAAGATTGTTATTATTACGAGGTCTCTTACCTAAATTGTACTGTATCATTTTCCATTTCAAAATTGGCCGGAAAATTGATAGGCAGTCATGCAATGAAATAGCTGACAGACAGTAACGATAGAAAAGCCTGTGAAGACGGTGCTGATACATCCACGTCACCCACATAGATCCAAAACGCGTGAAGCGTGGCCAACCCGGGAATCTAAGTCCGGCCACTTTGGGGAAAACCTTTCTGAAAATGACCCGACACGTGGCGCCCCAACAGCGGAGTCAGTTAGATATATTAAAAGAACTGGTGGGGTCCACACCCTCCTTTTTCTTTTTCCTTTCCCTCCTCAAATTTGCATTTCATTTCGATTTGAATTTGGGTTTCATTTCATTTTCAAGGTAAAAAAATCGGAGGAGCCGGAGAGAGCGCTACCTTCGACCTCATCAAGCTGCTCTTTTTGACCGAACGAAACAAGGAAGGAAAAGTCTCTCTCTTTCCCATCCTTTTAACTCCCTTTCTCTCTCTAGCTTTCCCTCTCATAGTCCGGACGTGTGTGGTTATATCATAACGGAGTCAAGTTCTGTTCTTTTTCTCTGCGCAAACCCAATTCTAAGCTCTTGTTTCTTTTTCAAGGTATCAAGGTATGTTATAAACATGTAAACATGTAATTTTACACACATATTTGTATATGTATGTGTATGTATAAGCTTTACACATATATTTTGCTAGGTACTTGATTTTGGTTCCTGACATCCTAAAATTCGATGTGTAGTTGTGATGGCTTTTTTTTTTTTTTTAATAATTACTATTGATTCATAAATAGACACAAATTGAGGAGTTTAGTGTTAAATTTTTTGAAAATTCGTGTATGAAATCATTAATTCAAAATGCATTTACCAATTGTCGTTATAATATTTGTCAATATGTTTTAGTTTAAATGGTTTCATAGACTTTGGACGTAACTATAGAACTAGCTGTTGGCTTTGAGTTGATGTTATTAGTATTTTCATCTTGAATACTTGTTAAAGGTTTGTTCTAGGAAGGAAGAAAAAAAAAAAAAAAAAAAAAAAACCCAATTTGTGATTTTTATAAAAGAAGAAAAAGAAAAAAAAAAGACCAATTTGTAATTTTTTATATATTTTTGGGTGGATTATACATTGAATGTCTCTGTGTTTCTATTTTGTAGAAAAGAGCTTTCCATGTGTAGTGGTTCCAAGAGGAAACTCTGCCCAACTGAATCAATCATGGTGGGGGATATATTTCAAAAGCAAGAGGGGGGTTTTGATAATTTTTCAATTTTGCTCGAAATAACGGCCTTGGATGATCTGATTGGGTTTAAAACTAAGGTGGAAGTGGAGGGTCATGATGTTGATGAGTCAGGCTTATGGTATGGTAGGAGAATTGGTTCAAAGAAGATGGGATTTGAAGAGAGGACACCTCTCATGATTGCTGCCATGTTTGGTTGCAAAAAAGTTTTGAGTCACATACTAGAAACCGGTCGTGTGGATGTTAACAGGGCTTGTGGTTCGGATGGGGCCACTGCCCTCCACTGTGCCGTTGCTGGTGGATCCGTTTCTTCACCAGATACTGTCAAGCTCTTGCTTGATGCTTCTGCCGATACGAATTCTGTTGATGCTAATGGGAACCGGCCTGCTGACCTGATTGCTCTTACTTTTTGTTCATTTCATTCAACAAGGAAGAGTCTGGAGCTCCTGCTAAAAGGAAGGAGTGATTTTGGAGAAGCAAGCGACTCGACTGACCAGTTTATTGATCATAAGGAAGATCAACATGATCAACAGATTTCAACATCTCCGGTCTCAAAAAGTGGGACTGAGAAGAAAGAGTATCCTGTGGATCTCTCTCTTCCAGACATAAAGAATGGGATATATGGGACAGATGAGTTTAGAATGTATATGTTCAAGGTGAAGCCTTGCTCAAGGGCCTACTCTCATGACTGGACAGAATGTCCCTTTGTCCACCCGGGGGAAAATGCAAGAAGGCGTGATCCACGTAAATACCATTATAGCTGTGTCCCCTGCCCAGAATTCCGAAAGGGGGCTTGCCGGCAGGGTGATGCCTGTGAGTATGCACATGGAATTTTTGAGTGCTGGCTTCATCCTGCCCAGTATAAGACCCGTCTATGCAAGGATGAGACAGGCTGCGCCAGAAAGGTGTGTTTCTTTGCTCACAAGCCGGAAGAACTTCGCCCTTTGTATGCTTCAACAGGGTCGGCAGTTCCTTCTCCTAGATCATTCTCAAACAGTTCTTCACTCGATATTGCATCCATAAGCCCACTAGTCCTCGGTTCTCCATCTTCTCTGATGACTCCCACTTCAACACCCCCCATGACTCCCTCAGGAGCTTCTTCTCCAATGGGTGCTTCCATGTGGCGGAACCAGGCTGACATCGGGCCCCCTACCCTGCAGCTTCAGGGTAGCAGGTTGAAAACTGCTTTAAATGCTAGGGATATTAATTTAGATGCTGAATTACTTGGGCTTGAAAGTCATCGTTTCCGGCAGCAGCAGTTGATGGACGAGATGTCAAGTCTTTCCTACCGGACGAGCTGGGATAATACCTTGGCCTCCGCTGCGGGTTTTGCTGGCACCTCTGGTGACCGAAGCGGGGAATTGAATAGGCTTGGTGCTGTAAAGCCTACTAACCTTGATGATATTTTTGGATCCATGGATCCTGCAATTTTGCGTCACTTACAGGGACTTTCGCTGGATTCCACTGCAGCACAGGTGCAGTCTCCAATTGGGATGCAGATGCACCAGAACATGAACCAGCAGCTCCGCTCGAGCTACCCTGCCGGTCTCTCCTCCTCTCCTGTGAGGTCATCACCGTCATTGGGAATGGATCCATCCGGGGCAGCAGCTGCAGCAGTTTTGAATTCAAGGTCAGCTGCCTTTGCAAAGCGGAGCCAGAGCTTCATTGATCGGAGCTCTGTGAACTCTTATTCCGGGCTTTCTTCACCCGCTGCTTCTGCAAATGTAGTTCCTTCTTCACTTTCGGGTTGGGGCTCCCCTGATGGCAAATTGGACTGGGGTATCCAGAAAGAAGAGATTAACAAATTGAGAAAATCTGCGTCTTTTGGGTTCCGAAGCAGTGGCAGTAGTTTTCCTGCACGTGCTTCCTCGATGATGGCCAATGTTGAGGAGCCAGATGCGCCTTGGGTTCAGTCCGGGGTAAAAGATGCAGAACATGAACATTCCGGGCCATCTAATTTTGAAGAGGAGCAGCATCAGCAGTGTCATTTGAACAGTGGAGGTACGGAGATGATCCCACCATGGGTGGAACAATTGTACATGGAGCAGGAGCAGATGGTTGCTTAAAAGCAATGTTAGCCCCACATTGGCTCCTTGTTTAACCTTTTAACAAGTTCTTTTTGCCATTTTTTGAATTTTTATTCGTATCACCATATAAAGTAGGTGGAAGAAAATGGAGAAAAGTGAAGAGAGAACATACTCGAATGGAGATTACAAGGAAGTTGGGCCGGATGAAATGATTCTGCTCATACCATTATTAGGCTCTTTAAATTAATAAAATTCATTTCTTATCTTATCTTATTATTGCCCTGTACTACAAGCTGTGAAATGTTTGATTACTTAATTATGTTTTCTATATTAATGTGAAGGTATTTTATCTTCTGATCAATGATATATTGTATTTTCTCGTGTTTGAAAATTCTTAGAGTAATGTGAATGAAACCCTGTTCTTATCATTTGCATCATGTTAATTCTTGTGCTTCTGGAAGCATTTTGAGTCAGAACTGCTTTAGCTATATACCTTAGCTTATACAGGGGAGGTATTGAAGCTCAAGGCGTTGTTTGGCTACATTGAGATTGAACAATTGGACCAATGCAATTCTTCCAGAGTTTTTTCTACATTGAAGCTATGTTTGGCAGCATGGAATTAGAATATTGGAGTTTTGGAATTGGAATCGATAAAATTGGGAAAAAAATTACTCAGAAAATTAAACTAATATATATATATATATATATATATTTTTTTTTTAATTTTACCGATTTCAAGTCTAAAGTTTCGGCGAAGAGCCAGAAATTAGACTTCATAAACAGAATTAGCTAAAGGCAACAGAATTAGCTAAAGGCCTTGTTTGGTTACATTGAGATTGGACTACGGGAGCCAATGCAATTCTTTCAGAGTTTTTGTACATTGAGATTAGACTTTTGGAACAGAATTTATTGTTTTCCACTTCCAAAAGGTGAATCCCCTTGTTTCTATAGTTGACAAGAAGTAGATGGTGGAGCACTAAGGTCATAAGGTGGTCCTCTCAGTGCGCTTACTTTGTCTTTTGATTGAACTTCTTCTTTAATTTTTTTTTTTTTTTTGGGTGGGTAAATTTTTAGTGGCTTGGGACCAGTAGAAAAAGAGAGTTGAAGCTGTCATTTAAAGTAAAGATGGGATGAAAATGAAAATCTCCCACGTTTCCTTAATTTGCTTTTTTAATTGACGCATGAGTCAAGTGTTAGAAAAATAAGTCTTATTATAATTAAATAATTTTAATCATTTGATTAGACCTAAATTAATACTCCCTTCGTCCCATTTTACATGTCAGTTTCGGGAATTGTGACTCACAATTATAATTAAATAATTTTAATCATTTGATTAGACCTAAATTAATATTCCCTTCGTCTCATTTTACATGTCAGTTTCGGGAATCGTGACTCATTGTGAGTCACGATTCCCGAAACTGACATGTAAAATGGGATGGAGGGAGTAGTTATCTTGAGTCACGATTTTCGAAACTGACATGTAATAGGATGGAGGTAGTAGTTATCCTAAGAATATATTGCGCCAACTTATCAAACTTGTGCATTATACCTTACATATATTCTTAATTGTGAGTCACGGTTCCCGAAACAGTCATTTAAAATGGGACGGAGGTAGTAATTATTTTGAGAGTATGTTGCGCTAACTTATCAAACTTGTGCATTATACCTTACATGCATTCTTAATAGTTAAAAATATAAAGGTCACTTATATGTAAAGAATCGGGTTAGTTGATGGAATCAATCACATATCTTGATATTTAAACTAAAATGATCTTTACTCTTACCATATATGCGAATGAAAATCTAAAATCTATGGTTTTAGTTTTAAAGACAAAAGGAGAGAGTTAGAAGAACATTTTTGCTATTAATTGAATTGAAGCAGAGGTTTCCTATTGAGTGAGTATGTTCTCCATCACATTTAATTTGTGTTGAAATTGCTTACATGAAGATGATTTGCACAAAATCATTCACAAATTACACATTCATTGATAAATTCAGCCAAGAGTTTAATTATTGCCTTAGCCGATACCCACTTTGGATCTCACTATCTCCTCAATATTTCTTGATTATTAATGTTAGATAGCCAACCCAAAGCACATTGAGAATCACATTAGCAAGTTTCATTTTTGACCAATTGCTGCCGGCTAAGTTGTTTCAATCTTCATTTTTTGTTTTGTGTTTTATTTTTTATTTTTTTTTAAAAAAAATTTTCCTCTAAAAGTTGAAGCAAACAACGCATCCATAAGTCTCGAACACTCAACCTCTCTTCGTGAGAAACAGTAAGAAGAGATAATATCATCTCAGACAATGCCCATTAGTTTTGCTATTCACATTTTAGGTATGGTAGAACTTTGTCACTTCCTATGCACAACTTGAGAGCTGACTAGTTGCTTAGACAAGGTAAGATTGTTCTCCAAATAGGGAGCAGGGTGGAGCGGGTTTTTAGAAGGATTTCACCATCTGCAGAAACAAACATGAATGCCGTTTCACGCACACCAATCAGTGTTAAGAGTTATATTAAACGAACCAAGATCCTCTCCTACGTCTTTTTTCATCTCGTGTCTGTTACGTGCTTTTACTATCGCTAACATAATAACTACATGTTACATTGTTGTTTCATGGTATTGCATTTTCTGATATAACTGTTGCCATGGTTCGCAATCTTGGTCACGGTTTTAGTGTAACGGGTTTGAATAAAATTAGTATAAACTGATCGATACGAGTCGACTGAAAGAAGGATGATACGGCGAACCATGGCTGTTCCACTACGATGTAGTATGCTGCAATAACAGTACAAGATGAGTGTCAAAGATCTCCTACACAGGAGGAGATCCAATTCGTAATGAACACTTCATTATGATTTATTAAAACACAGAGCTAATGAAGGATAGGACTTCGTGTGTCTTGCTGTTTCTATTTTTGCTCTTGTTTGTTAAAACCTTGAACAAATGCACATGAACATGAACATGAAAGCTGACCCTAAAAATTTGGTCAAACGCATTGTTAAGTTGAGCCGTTTGGTTTGGATATCTATTGTAGTGTACAAGTAACAAAGTCTTCAATTAAGTCAGAAAAAAAAATACGAAAGTATTACAAGCCCAAAATTTTCTCATTGGAAGTTGCAGCAAGTTGATCTACCAGCTCATTTAACAATTCTTCAAAGATTTGAAACCCAAAATCTGCAACTTTATCTTCTTCAAAATCTTGTAATTTCCACATTTCTCTGTACTCCCATTTGGTTTCCTTCAATTCTTGTTCAGCCATTTTGCAGATTTCACACCACAGCTCTGCATAATTTTCACTCTGCTGATCTTTCTTCATTGATCCATGAACTTTCCCTCCAAATTTTTTTGCTTCTTCATCATTGCTCACCGAACTATTGGTGCTACAAGGAGGTGAGTGCTCGGAATTTTCAAGTTCTGATAATTTCCTTCTTGAATTTGAATCTGTCAACCTTGAATCTTCAGCTGCTACAAATAATATATGAAAATAATTTTAAGTTCTAATAGAAAACTACACAATTCACATATTTTAAGTTTGAATCCCTTGGGCCACTTAGGAAAAATTTTCTGTAATTGCCCGATAAACGTGGGACCAGACTGCATTATGAGATACTCTAAGAGTCCCATCGAACAAAAAACACACACAAATTGAATTACTCTACAGTGGTCTCATCGAAGAACAGGGAAAAAAAACGTATAAAGAGAATTTAGAAACAAACCTGAGATTGGAACTTTAGGATCAGCAATGAATTCAACAAAATCAAGAACAGAAACAGGGCTTGAATTTTCTGAGTCACACTCTGTTTGAGCCTTCTTAGCTACAGAGACGTTCTCTTTCTGCTTTTTCTTCTTCTTCTTCTTCATTGATTTCACTCCATCAGAGTTTCCATGGTGGTTCATGGGTTTTGACTGATTTGCTACCTCCATAGCCACATGTGAATTCCCATTAGAATTCTTCCTAGGACGAAGAACATTACTCGAATCTATCACTTTCCCATTATTCCCAACCTTCTTAGAAGGCTTGTGGTTGATTCTCCTACTCAGCTTCTCATCTGAGACCACCTTATTAGTCTCTTTATTTTCTGTGTCATTCTTTTCATACACACTCTGTCTCCTATTGCTCTCTGTTTTTCTAGACTTCATTTCTCTAAAACCCATATCAGATTTCTTCGATTTCAACCCCAATTTTTTACTTTCTCCTCCATTCTCAAAGCTAAGAACAAAGAATTCATCTAGCTCTAAAAAGGTTGGCGTTTCGCGGAACGACAATGAAGTCTTGACGAGTCTTGACTCGAATTCCTTGGAGGAATCCACAGAATTCATTGATCTGCATCGCGAAATTGAACTGGGAGTGGATTGGGTATTAGCCAAATCGATCCGCGGCATCGATTCCAAACCCATTAGCCTTGCCACTACCCCAGGAGTTGCTGTGTCCCCAACCTTTTCCTCTGTTTCCGAGAATTGAAGCTTGTGATCATATTCAGATAATTCAACAGATGTCACTTCCGGGTCTTTGATCTGATCAGAAGGGTATGTGGGGAGAGAATTGAAGCAGAGAAGTCTACGCAACACACCGGAGAGACAGCTGGTGGTGTTGGCACCCTTGGAATTGCAAATGTTGCTGCCGGTAGTGGTGGTGGTAGTGGTGATGGTGGAAGAAGCTGAGGATGAAGAGGAAGACAAGAACTTCATGTTGGGTTAGTGAAAGACAGAGAATGAGTAATAATTTGGGATTGTTGAGTTTGAATTAATTACTCGTACTAGCAAAAAGCAACAGTGATGATAGGAAAAGCAAATGGAAAAAAAAGACGCATTTGAATTTGTGTGGTGTGTGTGTGTGAGAGAGAGAGAGAGAGGAGGTGGGTGTGTGGCGGGCTTTGCATTTGAATGTTGGCAGTGTGTGGGACTCACTGCGTTTGATAGAGAAAAGAAAGAAGTGATGTTTCCACGCGCGCCGAAAAGTCTATTTGTGCATTTTGTCCTCACCAAAATGCTGTGGAAACATGTCCCAGTAAGTACGCTGTAAGAGCGCCGTACGGTGGTAGTAATAGTATCCCCTCCTAAAGTTCAAGAAAAAAACGTCATTATGACGAAGTGTTTACGTGTATTACTCCTTTTTCAAATTAGATGTTTTGTTTGAGAGAATCTGACTCACAATTAGTTTGGAACAGAGGGAGAATAAGGAACGCTGGTGAAGTTTGCAATGTAAGGAAATGAGACTTGTATTGATATTATATAACGGAATCAATTATTGCAGTTGTGATTTATTTATTTATTTTATTATTATTTTTTTTTTTCTGACCCAATTCCAAAAGTCGAGAGAAAATATCTCACAATCTACCATAGGACGATTTTTCTAGTTGTTTGCAAGAGTGACAGAGGAGGAATGAAGTTAAGGACGGCTTGACAAGTCGAACCGGATAGTAGATAATATTTTTACACACTTATAAATTATTCAACTGATATTACTTTGATCAATGGCTTGACAGGTCGAATCGGACAATAAGTAATATTTTTACACACTTATAAATCATTCAATTGATATTACTTTGATCAATTGATAGTAGTTAAATTCTCAGTAATATTTTTATATTATAATAATAAATTACTTCCTCTATCCCAAATGAGTCACAATTGTCAAAATACCCAATTATTTTGAAATAGTGGGAGTTTATTATTTTATACAAGTAAATATTAAAATTATCATTTTATAAAGAAGCCAACATACTAATATATATGTAAACAAAATACTCTATTTTTTTTTTTTTTACCCGCTCTTATTGGAGTTCAAACACTTGACCTCGCATAAGAGTGAGAGGAGAGTCAATATGTATTTGCCTTTAAGCATTTATGAGTAATTAATTTAGATGAACCTTGGTCAAATTATACTATTTCTATTCTATAAAGGATGTCGCTTCTGGAGAAATGTAAAAGATGTCATAGTTTTTCAAAAGCCACGTCTTTTTTTTTTTTTTTTTTTTTAAAAGACGGGGAGTAATAAATTTCTTCCCATTGTATACTCATTCCATAATAATTAACAGAATTTAGAATGTACATTGTGTGGCACGAGGGGCTGTGAGCTCTCTGGTTATGTGTCAGTGACCTGACAATATTCTTATTGGTTTTGGGGTGTGGGAAGACGAAGATGCTGACATTGGACTTTATACACACACACACACACATATATATATCTCTATGGTGGATACAGAGTGTATATATAGTGTCTCTGTACATGGTGACATTGTGTCAAGGGGACGACAGTGTGGACCGGGGACCGGCCGGCTAGTGCAAGGTCAGTGAGTCTTTCCAGACCAATTCTGTCTTCTCTGTTATTGGAATTTTTTGGTATCATTTCAAGAGACAAACCACATATTTGAAAAGAAGTTTCATATCCTATGTTTATCAGTAGGAAATTTACCATCCAACGTGGAGGACCATGAGTACAAGAAAATTTCCCACCAGTTCTTTTTTTTTTTTTTTCTTTCTTTCTTTTTTTCCAGAATTTCCAACCAGTTTTCAAGATTTTCCGACACCTAGTTGAGTTGATTAAAAGTAAACATAATGGAATTTAAATTAAAGAAAATTAGTTCAAACAAACATAATATCTTTGTGATTCTTTGTACATAATCTCTAACAACATGACATCCTTCACATCCCATTCCCTTTCCCTTCTTTTCTTTTCCTTTTTCCACTGTCTTTCTTGTTCCATGTTGACTTCAATTGTTAAGTTACTTTCATTCAAAATTTAAATAAATCATCCCAAATTTAAGTGTTTTTTTTTTTTTTTTTTAAACCAACAAGAAAGATACATTCATGAAGTAGAGCATGTAACAACCAGGGGGCCAAATACTCCACTTCGGATCACAACATTCGGCTTCGAGAGCCTTCTTGCTCAATAAATGAATTACACCATTTCCTTTACGAAGAACCCAAGTAAGAGACGAACTGACACAATCCTTTATAAGCAAGGCAATATCGTTGAAAACCATCAGCTGAGCGACACTCGAGACCTGAAGCCTCATAACTGATTGGCAGTCTCCTTCAATGACCACATGGTGAGAACCCCAAGCTTTAAGGAGCACCAATGCTTCTCTCAGAATAAAAACATTCAGCAAGCAAAGGATCACAAACATTCTCAAGGAACACGGATGCCACCTTAATAGACTGACCAAGATGGTTCCTTAAAATCATGCCACCTCCACAAGTCCTACGGGAACTATTAACACCGCATCAAAGTTAAGTTTCAGACAACCAGACTCCAGCACAGACCACCACCTCGCAGATGGAGAAGGCGGGACAGGAACAATGGAAAGCAGCTGGTGCTGCCGAGACACCTCCAAAAATTCATGGAAAGCACTAAGAGCTGTTTGGGCCGCATCAAAAGGAAGGTGCTTTTTACTCTTTTAACACAAGGTCATTACGACACTTCCAAGTGGTCCAGCAAATGAATGCCGCCAAGCTAGTGCAATCACCAGGAGCATCAGACTTCACCCAACCGTCACATAAAGGAAGGCTGATGACCACTGAAATCCACATGAAGGGGGATAAGCTTCCATACCAAGCAGGCAAATGGGTAATTGCAAAGGAGATGATCCACCGTTTCAACCAAACTCTCACAAACCGGACAAAAAGAAACTTCAGACGCCCCACGAATGTGAAGCTGAGAGTTTACTACCAGTCTGTTATGGAGACTTTGCCACAAAAAAAGAATTATTTTCCTGTGAGCATGGATTTTCCATATACTTTTCCACATATCCCCTCTACTGGCATCAAAACTACAGCTCTCTATTGGGAATGAACAAGACTTTGACTGAAGGAGAGAAAGAGCTACCTTGTAGGCACTCTTGACAGAAAACTTGCCATCTTGAGAGGCACCCCACACCTTGAGATCTGCTCCTCCTATGACACTAAGGGGAATTTGAGCAATGAGATTCTCATCTCTACTGTTGCCGAGCTTATTGACCATTCTTCTCATAAATGGAATTTTGCCTTGGTTAATCGTTTTTTAAGGTACCCTATTTCAAAAACTTAAAGGCTTAGTCGATGGATTAAGTATAAAAATGAAATGACTACTCAATAAATTATAGTAATATTATATATATAACGTACAGGGAAAAAACTACACATGGGAGTGCCAACCTGCAACATATACATGAAAGCTCGATCAAGATATTAAAACATTCTATAAAAGGGTTAGGGGAGTTCAAAAATAATTTGATGTATGACAATGTACAAGACTCGGTTTCATTCTCATGTGATGTTGATTTTATAGACTAATATACAAGAATTTTTTTTTTTTTTTTCCTGATCTACAAGACTGATTTTGACTATGCTTATAATTATACAACATCAATAGTGTAAATGCAACAGTTTCTTGGCCATGAGCTACTTACTATCTCCTTCCTTGAGTTTGACTTGATGTCTTCCCACTAATTCCTGATATCTGCTTTAGGTTGGTAAGAGCTTCTTGAGAAAGCCTCTTTGTGGCAGCATTTCCATGCTTCAAGGCTTCCACCAGAGCCCTAACCAAAGACTGATTCAGTGAGTGTTTATTGGTGACGCTTTCCGCTCTCAGCATCCTCTCTAACATCCAGATTGCCCTTTCTTGAAGTTCCCCTGGTCGAGCATTGGAGAAGAGCGTGATCGCAGCATCAACTACGCCAAGCTGTTCGAGCTTGTCTACCGCTCGTTTGAAATCATTATTAGTATCTATTACTAGAGTGGAAAGTGCCTCCAGTGCAACGATTTGAACATTGGTGTCCTCATCTGAGAGAAGATCAACCAGGGGTTTAATGGAATTGCTCTTCAACAAGCAGAACTGACTGTTTTCTTCACATGGGGCGTTGTGTACAGGACATGTGGGAGGTGCCGGAGGACCCCTCCCACACATGAACACCAACGAAGAGCAGAACCCATGGGGAGGCTGTAATTCTGAGTCACTGCCAGCAATAAGTGTCCTTCCGGTCTCTGATAGGTTTTTCAAGCCAAGGACAGCTAGCTGTTTAACTCTTGGTTTTGAAGTTAAAACAAGTGCCTCACGAAAGACTATCATGAGCTGATTCTCGTTAACAACACTAACAGTTTGTGGATCAGTGCTCCTTGTAAAGTGCAGTAGGAGGCCAAGAAGCCCTTCCACCATGCTTGATGCAGACCGAGAAGTCCTTCCACTAGAGGCTCGGCACTTGTCTTTGAGAGTAGTAACCGTCCATCTCACAAATCCAGCTCCTTGAACTGATTTGACTTCATCTTCTGAGAGGGTAAGGTTTGCAAGTATGCAAGCAGCATCAGATCTCTCAGCATCTGTTGATTGATTATCTAATAATTTGTCTTTAAAAAAGGAAAGCTTGTTGGAGGTTTTCAACTCATTAGCTAGATCATCACCAAACCTTTCTGAGAGGACTCTTGTAAGCCTAAAAGCATTAATTCTGTGCTCAACTTCTGGGTGTTCAAGAAATGGTATGATGATTTTGAAACCATCTCCAGATTTTATATGGGTGGTAACTGACTCTGCAGAAAAAATATATATAGTAAGTACGTCGCAATGGATCTGAAAGCCAACTTAATATGATTAAAATTCAAGCAATTTCCAGAAGTACTATAATGTAATAAGAATATAAAATAGAAGATGTCCACATCTAATATTCAGAATGTAAATACTGAACTAAAACATCCAATTAATGTAAATACTGAACTAAAACTAATCGGATGTTTCCATATTAGGGAAATCTTTATCCTATTCTGCATGCCAACTTCATGTATCTTTCCGCTCCGCAATTCTTTGTATAAATAACTACTGTCAATATTGTATATGCCAAGACCTCATATTCACGACAGCAGACCTCAGCATTTGGGAGAATTTGATCCTAGAAATTGTCTAAACTACCATTACCTCTAATTTTCTAAAATAGCAGCACAAGGATAAAGATGTTTGGTCGATAATTTCAAACAACAACAACTTCAAGAAGATGAACAGTGTATTCCCTTTTCAGTTTTTGGGAGGCATTTTCCTAGGATACATGCCAGACATGACAACCCAATTCATTGCTGCATGATATATATGCATTCTTCATAAATAGGGATTACGAAATTAAATTCTAGAAACTTTCTGCTCCAACAGCTTGGATAAGTTCTTCTTCCAATGAATTACATTTTCCCACAAAATGAATGGAGCCTAAGGGGGAAGAGGTGGGGGGGAATAAGAACAGCAAATATATCATGATTGGCTACAAACTATGCACAAATAGATCTCAGGTATTAAGAGGAGTTAACCAGACAATAAATTTTAGTCTGGCCTCCCCATGCGGAAAGTCCTGGTGACAAGGAATCATTTGTAGCCAAAGTAGTCAACAAAAAATTACCTGATGCCTGGGGAGAGGATGCAATTCCATATAGAATCTGGAGAATAGACACTTGGCATTGAGGAGATGCACGAAATAAAAGCCCCAAAAGACTAAAAACAATTGACTCTGATTGCATTGAGTGCCTTCCTTTGTCAGCAGATGCTAATTCCCAGTGTCCGGGATTTGACACAATGTTTGCAATTGTTGATGCAGCCAATTCCTTCAGCTCCCAACCCCGTGATGCATCCTGGTTTTCAAAAAGAATATCTGTAAGGGCTGGAAACACAGCAGAATCTACGAGGATCGTTGCATTGTCGTCCAAGGATGAAAGGTTATACAAAGCTTGCAAGCTCGGTGCTCTTCCTTCTGGCTTATATAGCAATTCAACGAGTACTCTAGCACTTTGGCGAGCAATTTGTTCTTTACTGTTATTTGTCAAGGTCATTCTCCCCACTAAAGATGCCATCTTGATTTTAATATCGTCAGAACCTGTTTCCAGACGATCCCAGAGCTAATTATTATATGGTTGAAGAGTTTTAATGGTAAGCAGTGAGTATGTGAAATACAAATACATTGGATCTCCACAGAGTTTCTTTCTTCTTTCTTCTAGATCATCTATTGTGATCCACAAAGAAATATAAACTGTAATAACTATAATTCCCCCTCATAGAACACAAAAAACTAGGTAATTTTTAAGAAATGTCAGATAGCATGATTATGTTATTCTTACTTTTACTATCTATATTCAATAACTGCGCGTGCGCGCGGGGCCAGGGGGGGGGGGGGGGGGGGGTGGTGGTGGTGGTGGTGGTGGGGTTGTGGGGGGTGTGGTGGAATGGATTTAAAACATTTAATACTCTCAACCATCATTTTAGGGAATCGCTAGAAATGGAATTCCATATTAAAGAAAAAAAGAAGAAAAGAAAAGAATACCCTTAGTTTCAAATTTTCCGGTTTATACTTTTATCCTTGGTTTTGAATGTCCAAACTCTTTTACAGCGTTGATAGAACTGAGCCAAGAATTGCATATTTTCTTTATTAAAATTAAACTGCCATTTTTAAGTTGATGGTCCCAACGTAGTTCCAGTAGCTTAAAATAAATCCTAATAAAGAATTTTTTAATCAAGAATGGTTAACTAATTCTCATTAAAAATTGGCTTTCATTTTCTACCCAATTGGGTCTTTGACCTCCAGCTATCAAAAGAGAAAAGAAAGGTTCCTTGCTAAAGTGACACCAAAGCTATACCTACATTATCAGCACAGTGAAGTTGCTTAACATACAGTAGCATGAACTTGTTATATTAAAATGGAGCCAAATGGCCTTAGGAAGATCCATTCACAGAAAGAGTAAGACAAAAAATTAAAAATAAATCACGAGGGTGAAAAAAAAAAAAGAAGCAAAGACAAGCACAGCCGGGAGTGGGGATACATTGAGTTTTGGGCATGAACAAAAACTAACAAGTTCTAAGCAAATGATTTGCTCTTATATTTATACCTTCTCCAAAATCTTCAGTATAAGTGATTATTCTTGTAACTACTTACATTACTTTTGTAGTAGAAAAGTAATTAGTATAAGACATACCTTCACATAACCGGCTAAGTAAAGGTTCAAATCTCCCTGCTGCAGCTAAATGCTGGATGTTGTCCTCCACCCTCTCCATCATCTTTAAGACCTCCTCAGCTAAATTAGATACAGCAGGATACTCCAGATTTCCGGCCAAGCTTGAAAGTAGAACTAATGCGCCTTTTTCTGAAGCAATTTTTTTACAATAAGTTTCGTCGCTTGAGAATTCAAGTATTAACTTCACAGCAAACTCCCTCTCTTTCTCTAAGCTCCCAGTAAGACTATGTATAGCCAATCTAGTGATTCCCTCCTCAAGCATGATATTCTGGGAAAATATAACCCATTTTTAGAAGAATTAAGAATAATCGTAATATCAAACACTATAAAAGTTTACTATATAAATCAGATGAATAATTTATATGATATTAGATTGTGCTTTCATTGTTGAAGGTGAAGCCAAACCTTAGGGTTATGCATTGAGTTTTACAGATGATGTTAGCAGGTCAAGTAGTTTCTTTTAGCTCAGATCTATCAGCTAGTTCACTCTCAAAGTTTTATTAATTTCAACTTACTAAATTAGCTTCTCATTATTGAAACTTTATTTATCATAATATCGGTCATGCTAACAAGTTGGCCTCTGCTATAAAAGAGAGTGAGAAGATATGCTCAGTTTAACCTAGTTTGGCCAATGAGTCAACCTCAGTCAGCCTGTGACTTCAGTTTAGGAAAATTCTGACAATCCATGACTACATTTAATATAAATATCTCCATAAAAGGAACAAATATGACTCACCCCTTCTATACTGACATTGTAAGAATATAATAAGGAATTTCTAATGGGGAAGAAGTTTTGCCTATAAACCATTATGAAGGTTAGTATCTTTAAAAGGCAGAAGTAAAATTGTTGTTAGAATCTTGGTTAGCTCTTCAACAATTAGGATCCTTTCTTTACTTTTAGCTCAAAGCTCTTTATTTTGTAAGAGTTCTATCAATAATCCTTGTTAATTTGTCATATAGAACAAAAACCTAAATTTCAACTTCCTAAATTAGTTTCTCATTATTGAAACTTTATTTATCATAATATCGGTCATGCTAACAAGTTGGCCTCTGCTATAAAAGAGAGTGAGAAGATATGCTCAGTTTAACCTCGTTTGGCCAATGGGTCAACCTCAGTCAGCCTGTGACTTCAGTTTAGGAAAATTCTGACAATCCATGACTACATTTGACATAAATATCTCCATAAAAGGAACAAATATGACTCAGCCCTTGTATACTGACATTGTAAGAATATAATAAGGAATTTCTAATGGGGAAGCAGTTTGTTTTTGCCTATAAACTTATTCGAAGGTTAGTATCTTTAAAATGCAGAAGTAAAATTGCTGTTAGAATCTTGGTTAGTTCTTCAACAATTAGGATCCGTTTTTTATTTTTATCTCAAAGCTCTTTATTTTGTAAGTGTTCTATCAATAATCCTTGTTAATTTGTCATATAGAACAAAAACCAAGAGAAGACTTAATTGGATTGTTAGATCAAGTGTTTCGATATAAAAATATTGCACGTTGTAGAATGTGCATCTAGGGCATTTACATTTTTCTATTAACTTTGCCTAACAGAATCCATGGAAGCATCTTTGTTCATTTCCAATTTTCCATCCAAGGTTTCAAATTGCTGTAACGATGATCTTAATGGTAATGGTCGCAGCGACACTAATGCATGGAGTGACAGATGCCAATAACAGAGCCATGAATTGTTTCTATTTTATTAGAGAACTCCCCACAACATGTATTAATATACTTCTCTTAAATCCAAAACCTCATATGTAGGTCTTTAATGAATCTTATTGAAGTTGTAAACATGATATTTATATGGGTGATAACTTTATATTGATTGAATGGTGCTAGCCAGGCAGATCAGCCAGCCTGTCACACACAAAAGTCCTACACAGACTTTGTGAGTGGATCGATCTGGGCCAAATCGGCCCAGATATTATTATCCATGTTGATTTGTTAACTCAACATTTTAAAAAAATAATTAATATTTTTACCTTTCACTATTTTTTTGAGCACAAGAGCAATTGAATATTAAAAGTATCAAATGGAAAGTAGGTTTAAACAACATTACTGTCTCAATGTCTACTTAAACAACTGAATGTTTCAAGAAAGGTAGGCATCATTTCCTTAATCTCTAAAGATAGGGTGTCCTGACCATCTAACAACTATTCCAACCTCATTATTTATTGAGCCTACTCTGATGCTCCGTTTGGTAGGAAGGAAGGAAGAGGGGTGGCGAGAAAATAGGAAGGAAGAGGGGTGGCGAGAAAATAGGAAGGAAGAAACAAACTTCCTTCGTTTGGTAGAGAAGAGGCAAAGAGAGAAGAGAAAAGACGATGGATGGGTCATCCTTCCTCCTTCACAAAATTTCATCCCTTCAAATATGGACGGAAGACATGAAGGAAGAAAGGCAAGGCTATTATAAATGTTTTTAGATTACAAAACTTTCCTTATAATTATCACTTTCTCTTTTCTTCTCTCCTAACAAACAAAATAAGGTATTGTCTTATCATCTTCTCTTCCATCCAACCAAATAAAAAGAGGGAAGGACACAATCTTTTCCCTAGGGATGTTTCATTCATCCCTTCTTTTATCCCTTCCATCCAATTTTCTTCCTTCATACCAAATGAAGGATGAATAATTCCCCTTCTGCCAGATTATACAAAAGTGTTAAATCAAATGGTAGATCATATGCAAATTATGGCAAAAGGGTATGTGGTATGCCACATACTCTAAAATGGGACTCCATAGGAATAGGCTTATCAGATAACACAGTTAGAATCCAATTAGGCAGTTCTAACTGGGGGAGCGGTTTGTTTTTGCCCATACACTGCTGGAGCTTAATATTATTAAATTGAAAATGTTGTCTATTGACTTCTGGAAACTGGAGCACTTTATGTATTGTGACTCTTATATTCATCTTCTGAAAATTCTTTACTGTATAAAAATTCTGTTTGTAATAGATGATGGTTTGTTTTACAAAAACAAAACTAGGGAAGAATACAAATAGATATTTTGGATGGTTAAATTCAGTGTTTTGCTTTTATGGGATGCATTCCCATTTATTTGTTCTCGATTATATGTTCTCCTTTTTTTTTTTTGATAAGTAAGAATTCTTTAAAAGCGCTCAAAAGGGGAACGCATCCAGTTATATATATATATACATATTTTTGTTGGGTTTTGGGGAGAAATTGTAAATCAATGGGGGAAATAGTTGATATTTTGGACTCTTTGAAAGTGTAGAGCCTTTTTGGCCTTGTGTAGCTTTTATGGGATGCATTCCCCATTTGAACGCTTTCTAATACAATCTTACTTATCGGAAAAAAAAAAAAATTAATGTTTTGCAAAAAGGTTTACCACGTACTGGAAAGACAGATCACTACGCTATTATCACTTCTAATAGCAATACCCTAAAAGAAACTTTGGAAACACCTTTGACTCAGCTCAGGCAATTCAATCACGTCCAGAAGAATTAATTTAACTCTGTGGAAGGCTGAACTATAATGCCAAAAAGGTCCTAAACCAAACATTACCCTTGTCAAGCACTCCTTTTCTCTCCCTCTCTAATGAGAGACCCTCATTCTCCTAATACTTACATCTCTTAAAGGGACGGACCCAGGATATTGAGTGAGGGGGGGTAAAAGTGAATTTTTTTTTTTTTTGTAATTTCAGGGCGGGGCAATGTTAAAATTTATAGGTGTATAACTGAAAATAAGAAAAAATAATAGTGTTTAATGGTATAAAAAAAAAAAAAATTCGGGGGGGGGAGGAATCCATCCCTGCGATTCTCTTTCCCTATTATCCCTATCCCTTATCTATCCTCTTTGCAAGAATGATAAAGGTCACTTAATCCTGAAGAGATTTTAGCATGTTCTTTCTAACAAAATGGCTGTTGTATCCCTATCCCTTATCTATCCTCTTTGCGAGAATGATAAAGGTCACTTAATCCTGAAGAGATTTTAGCATGTTCTTTCTAACAAAATGGCTCTTGGATTGGAGGCATCTGCCGACAAATCAGCTAGAGGGGTCTGATTAACAATACAATTGAAGCCACAAACTTCTAATTGGCACTATTATTTCTCATCTATTCCTCCCTCAAGCTTATTAGTTGAACAACAAGACCATACCATTAAACATTGTTATGTTTCTCTAAAGGTACTTACAAGCTTTTCACATGACATAAATCTTCCCATAGAACAACAAATTATCCAATAATCAAAAGTTCTAGTGATGTATTCCAATTAATCCACAATTTATTTAATGCAAGTGGCATTTTGACCTTGTAACATAAAAAGGTTGAGAATACGCTGCCTCTGGAAAACATTTGGGAAGGTTAAGCTCTTGTGTAGACTCGTGGATAATGAAAGACTAAAAGCATCATATATTGGTAAGTGGGATGAGAAATATCAAGTTAGTGTTTTTTCATGCAAACAAAGAAATTCCAATAACAACTTACATGCATTTGTCAGGCTTAAATTATATATTAAAAGGCAAATCAACTGAATCTAACTCCTGATTGATGTACTTACCTTACTCTCTTCATCCTTGGCCATGCTAAGCAAGGCCATAAGAGCTTTGCTTCTCAAATGTGATCCTATTTTCTTTGAAGAGTTCCTAAGCAATTTAACAATGAGAAGAACTATACCAGCACTCCTCACTCTGTATCTGCTAGAGGGATGCTCTTCTGAAATTTTATAAATATTATCCAAAACTCGTTCCATGCCATCAACAGGAGGAGGATCCTCCTCATTAAGACACTGTGCAGCCGACTTAATCTGAATATCAATATTCCTATTGACCCACTCTTCAATTGCTCCGGCCAATCCAATGTTAGGTTTCAGCTCCAAAGAATTTAGAACCTGTCCAGTAACAGGACAAGTTGGATCGCGACCATCCTCTTCACATCTATCAAACCAGTACTTAATGGCAATTCGCTCATAGGTTTGTGAAGACTCCAAAACCACAGGATCCTTCATTACTTCCTTAGTCAATGGGCATAGGAAAGTCTTGAATGGCGAAATGTGCACATCATCATCCCAATCAAGAACCAAGTTTTGAATCAAAATGTCAGGTTCAGTTGACCAGTTGGCCATAATTCTCTCAAGTGAAGTCAAAATTCGCCTCTCTGAAACTGAACTCGAGTGTGACAAATCGTTCTTTAAGAGCTTTACCTGTTCCAATAACTCTGAGTGATTATTAGAGTCAATTCCGAGAGCTCGAGCTAAATCCATGATTATAGCAGTCTGTACTGCTTTGCTGTTTATTCTTCCTTGCCCTTCTTTCTGCAGTGTACAGTACACTCTCTCTTCATTATCCGTCACCTGCACCATCACATAGTATCACACACACACACACATATATATAGATATAGATATAGATATAGATATAGATATATATAGAGGGATTTTGAATTAAATATTTGGAAGAGAGATTTCGAAATTAGGTTTTGTTAGAGAGAGATTCGTACTCTGAATTGAAATTCTCCGCAGGTGACTATCACATAGTATCACACACATATATATAGATATATACATATATAGAGAGAGATTTTGAATTAAATTTGTTGAAGAGAGAAATTTCAAAATTAGGTTTTGCCGGAGAGATATTCTTACTCTGAATTGAATTTGCTTCATATCTTTGGAGAGATCAGCGACCTTCTTGCGAAGATCGGGAATGTCGTGGAGGGAAGACTCGAGCAAGGCCATCCATCCTCCGATTGCTATAGTACGCTGCTGGAGAGATGCGCGCAGTGACTGGCAGTTGATTAGCACGAAGATCTTGCTCTTGTTCCTGTACACGGACAACGCCTCAACGACCTCCGTCAGATCTCCAGCGATTCCCTTCAGCGATGTCTGCACCGACGGCGGGAGGTTATCCGGCGACAAAAATCTGAGCAACTGGTTGAGAACCAGCTGAAGTCGCTTGGCGTAGCCCGAGAACCGCCTAGGGTTTTCCCACGAGTAGCAGCTTTCGTCGGCGGAGCAGATTTCGGATAATGAGCGGTTGATTGATTCTACCGCGGGTAGGGTGGACGTCATTTTACGGGCAGAAGAAAGAGCTCGGTGCTCGGCATGTGTGTCAGATTCTGGGATTTGAAGTCAGTTTCCGGTGGGTTGAGTTGACTGGTGCCAACGCTGATTGAAAGCAAATGCCGAGTCTTAGCTCTTAGAATTAAGGTCATTGGCTTCTGGTTTAGGCTACCACTACCTCGTTCGAACTTTCGGAGAAGAAGAGTCAAACTTTGACCATAGAGCAGTCTTCTTCAGATAAAAAAAAAAAACGAATGAGTTGGAACTACTTTCATTCTTAACTACAATGTCAACGGAAGGGGATCGGTAATAATTTGGTCAGTCAGTTTGAACGGGTTTTGGAGTAATCATGAATATTACTGAGTTAATAATATATTATTTTATAATGAATATTAAATAAATTAATTAATCCACACCCAACCGAATTAAGCACAAATTATTACGTTATTTTCGTTGTCAAATGACCTAAAAAAAAATTACACTGCAAATATAACCAAGAGCCCAACTAGCATTTATAACCCTCACCTCTGGTGATTGTAATATTATTTTTAGTGTAAGAAGTCATTAACACCCTTACACTATAATAATTATAACTAATCCTATATTTTATTTACATATATCTCTTAATTTGAACACTACTGACCACCTACCATTTCAGCACTATTTTCATCTCTCTATATGCCACCATGGAGACCCTAACACAGCATCAATCACAAACCAGATCTCCACAATCATCTTTTTCACAGAAACCCTAAGACGATAACCCTGCACCATCCATATTTTCATATTTGTGTTGCGGTTTTTCATTTATTTTTTGGTCTTACAATTTTTTTTGCCAATAATATTAAATATATATATTTATAAAAAGTAGGAGTTTTAATTAATTGGTGAATATTAGGGATGAATATCCCTTTTCTTATATTTAATAATTAAGCTTTGGCAGTTGAATATTTAGTTTTTTTTTGAAAAATTTAAGCAAATGTATACCACCATCATATGGTGGTATAAGGGTTCATTTGGCATAATTTTTGTTTTAATTTTTACACAAAAGAAAAACAAAAACAAAAATTATCACTTCTATTTGGCTTATTTTTTAGTGTCTGGAACATGTATTTTATAATAGCTTTTTATGTCAAAAGAATTTTTATGTCTCTTTGGAAAAACAGTTATTGAAGCTATTCTCTTACTAAAATAACTATTTTGCTCCTTAATCACCATATAAATAAACCATTCAATATAAAAAGGAAATAATATAAAAGGAAATAAAAAGAATAGACAAAATAACAACACAAAAATAAGAAACAGATAACAGAGATTGAAAAATAGCAATTGATCACGACTGGTTAGAAATTGGAACAAAGAGATGCTCAGCATGACTCAAAACACCAGTGTGTGTATATATATATAATTTTTTTTTCTTTTTTGACGGCATAAATAAGAATTTTTTGTTTCTACAATTTAAATCCCCTGGGCAAGTGTTGATCTTTAGCCCTTAAATTTTCTTTAAACCATGACATCTGGTTGATTTTTTTCCTATTTTTCATGACTCCAGATTAGGGTTGGAAATTTTTTTTTGGCAATCTTTAAAATACTTTATTCGCTCATTAGTCTACCATCGTGATTAAGTGGCTGGAATCACATTCAAAGCTTATATATATATATAAACATAAAAGATCAAATATTTGTGTGGCAAAAGATATGGAGGTTTAGTGCAGTTGAAATAGCCAGTTAAAATTGCCGATGACCCTCGTAGGAGTAGCAGGAATGGTTGGTTGTCTGAGGATACCGCCTCTGCAAATTATGCCAGAGCTTTGTCATCTACTAGGGTTTAGGAAGAATATACGTGAGGAAGAATATACGTGAGGGTTATATAGGGACGCGTTTGGAATTCTATTTTATTGAATAATAAAAGGGAAACTCCTGGAATTTAAAAAGTTTCACTTAAACAATAATTTGGCTTCCCCTGTCCTTTTAGAAGAGCGTTTTAAAGAAGCTTCTTCAAAACACTCTTCCAAAGACTAAAAGTTCTTTTGAAAAAGTAGTCAAACACTACTCAAAACAGCTTTCAAATCTAAAAAGTTAAAAGTTGTGTTTCAAAATCCAATCGAAACCGGGCCTAAGAAAAGGGATACAAGAAGCAGAATTTCAATAAAAATCAACCCAATTCGTAGGCACAACCCAAAAACACCACCGGCCCAGCAGAGAGAGAAACCGAGAGGAGAGTGAAAAAGAGAGGAGAGAGAGAAACAATAAAAGAGAGAGAAAAAGAGATGCAGGAGAATACCTAAAAAAAAGAAAGAAAGAGAAAAATGGTTAATTCCGCCATAACCCTTTTCCCAAACCCATCCCATCATTGATTTTCTTTTTTTCTCAAACTTTATTCGTATTGCCTAGCATAGGATCGGGCGAGCTTGAAACACTCCGATATATAGATATTAAAAAAAATCAAACTTAAAATAAATTTTGTAATTTTTTTGCAGTATAATCAAATATCTACCGATCATAATAAAAAATATATTGATAAATTTAAATTATCATAAGAAATAAAAGAAAAAAAATTATAGCTAATAAGATGATGTTTATTTATGAACTCTTATTATTAGGGCGAGTTCCGAACTTTGTGGGTTTTAAGTTCTTTTTTTGAAATGTAAAGCAAAACACACACACACTCTCTTGAGACTTCAATCTATGACATTCCTTTAAAAAGCATGAATGTATTACCATTGGGCCACTGACCCATTGGTTAGAGACACGTTAAATTGACATCTCTATTCGTAATTAGAAAAAAAAAATAAAAAAATTTGTTTGTTCAAATAGCCATTTTTAATTACTTGTATTTATATCATATTTGGTATGATGGAATTTGAGAAAAAATTGACATTGTTGAATTTAGAATAAAAAAAGTCCTTGTAACCTGGTTGTACCTCGTAATTAGGGCCGATAAAGAAAAAAATTATTTGTTCAGAGATCCATTTTTAATTATTTGTATGAATATCATATTTGGTTTGATGGAATTAGAGAAAAATTTGACTTGTTAAAATTAAAAAAAAAAAAAAAAAAAAAAATCCTTATACTTCTTCACCTCATAAAGTATGAAGTCCATTATTCAAGTTCCCATATGATTGGATATCCAAAGATAAAGTAAACAAGAGTCGAGAGTTGGGCTACAAAGACATAGCTTGGATTTGGGCCGTAAGTCCATTACTGTCCAGCTAGGTCCAAGGACGAGGCGGTTTGTTTCTCTCTCTCTTCAAGAACACAAATCCTCGTCAGAGTTTGCTTTAGCAGCTTCTCGCAGAGAGAGAAGACAGTGCATTCTTCGCACTCGGCGCGCGTTAGGGCACTGGGAAGCTAAAACCACAATACGTCTGTGCAGGTTAGCGTTTCTTCACCCATCTCTTATCTCTATTTGAAACTTTCACTACCAAGATTATTCAGATCTGTACTGTATCTAGGGTTTTATTTTTCTGGGATTTTGCAATAATTTTGCATTAGAAAAGAAATAGTTGATCCAGTAAACCAATGAATGTGATGAAATATTATAAAATTTTATTTTTTGAATAGTATACATAAAATAATTACAAAATGTGAGACTGACTGATACTGACGACACAATCTGCTTCGGCACTCCGCAGGGCGCAGCCTCCGCTATCGCCTCAGGTGACAACGTATGTTCATCCTCTCTCTTCTCTCTCCTTTTGCATGAAAACATCTTTTTTATATGTTTCTTTCGTTCATCTCATCATTTGATTTGTTCTAACTTTGGTTGGTTTGATTCATGCCTTTACCTTTGTTCCAATAGTGAAAAGTAGCTTCCAAACTAGGTTTTGTTGTGTGTGTCACAACACTAAACAAAGAGGGGCAGCTGTAGACACCCAATTTTGCCCTTACCTATTTGAAGGGGTTATTTCGATAAAACTAGTTTGGTCAAGCTAGGAAAATTAGAAAATCAGACCAGATCATAAAATGGATGCCATCAATGGTTCCGGAAGGACTCAAAACAGTAGAGTACACCTAGAGTCAAGTTCGCAATGCGACTCCTGGTTATCAAGCAGGTAACCGGCGAGTATGCCATTCGTGAGCCTGCGCTTGCGTCCTACCTTATTTTAATAAATGTGTGCCTTTCTACATGTGTCTTTCATGGCGATCGAGCCCATAATCTATGGCAAGTACTTTTTTTTTCCTCTCCCTAATTCCACTCCAATCTCACAACAGCAGCAACCATACCCCTTTTCCTCATAATTTTTTGCATTTTCACATTCAATCCTACGAAAATTAAGGATCCCTTCTACTGGGTTGAGGACCTGAGGTAATTAACTTTTTTGATCTCTAAATTATGCTCATACTTAAAAGTGCCAAATTAAGGGTTTTTTTTCTTTAATTTTTTATTTTATTTTTATATGAAGATTCATGCCACCATTATTGATGTTATTTGAAGTTGGCTCAGCTAGAATTTCAGTTAATAATACTGTCAAAGGCTCAAAGCGATTGCCATCATAATGTAAAAACACATGGAAATCAAGAGCAGGCTTTAACAAAACAAAAGTTATGGTTTTTTCTATTAATTTGCACAGGTCTTTTCTAGCAATGATCAATCAATCACTGCTACTAAAATTTATAGTTATTAGTTAGTTGTCTTATGCACAATGCACATGCGCACAATTATATTAGCTGTAGAATTTGAAAACATCGTGTTAAAATTTCGCACTCTTATAATTTTTTTTTACACGTGTGAAAGTTAAGGGCCTCACATTTAAAAGTTCGCCTAGGGCCTCTCAAAATATTTTGAATCTCAGGGCTGGCCCTCAAAAGGGTGTCTTGCAATTCTTGTGATTGTGGATATGAAGGACTGCGTTAAGCTGATGATATTATATGAAATAACAGAAAAACACCCTAGTAGGAGAACAGAACAATATAGTGTTTTTTTTATTTGAGTTGAGAAAATTACTCTAAAATTGTGTTAGTGAGAGCTATATAGGGATATGGTGTTCTTTCTTATGCTATTACGATTTAAATGAATAATTCTCTTGAATTTGTCAATTTTGGGTAAGTGCTCTTGACGAATTATATAGTTTTAAAAAGGAAATTATACTTAATTAACACTCTGCGTTTCCAATGTAGCATAATCAAAATTCAAGGCATTGGTGGAAAGTAGAGCTCACATTAATGATTCAGTTTGTTTAGAGTTTTGGACAGTATCATGCTCTGGGATAGATTATAAGGTAAAGGTTTTAATACCTAACCATTGTAAGCAACAGAAACAAATGTCTTTGTTGCACTGCTGGAACACGGTCCTTTTCTATTCTCCCCCCACCTATGCTTAAAATTTTAGTATATGTCGTACATTTGGGTTTCTTCTGGCTGGCACTGTTTCATGGCACTTGCACAACCACTTGAGCCTGTATATTGCTATCTCTGCGTAACCAAACTACACTACACACACTATTGATCAAAAATTTTGTTCCTTGGTTGGGAATTAGAAATTTTAGTATCTGTAATACATTCGTCTTTCTTTTGCGACTATTTCATAGCACTTGCGCAACCTCTTGAGCCTGTATTTTACTGGCTTCAGGGGAACATTGCAGTAGTGCTCTTGCACCTATAATAATTACGCCCTCATTGTTGTCCATTTCGGACTTCTTCATTGTTCTTCAGTAGTGAAATTCCATGTCCTTTGTCATCAAATTGTGGCAATTATGCTGAAACAATATGGGTTCCTACTCTCTCCTTGTATTTCTTACTTCTAGATTTTACAAAGAAAAGGAATATAAGTCGTAAATCTTTTTTACGAGTATACAATACATGTCAGATGTTGTTTTCATGTGTGCAAATTTTCCAGCTGCACATTCTTTTTGCTCAATTGAGGTTCATGTTTATCTGACTCGGTTATAGAAGGGAAGTTTAAAAATAAGTTCAATTTAAAAAACTCTACTAAATGTTCAAATCAATGTGACTCAAGTAGCATGCAGTATGCTCCTGTTATTCCAATGCATGCTATAATCTTGGATAAAAAAAGATAGTGAAAATTGATTGATCTATCCTAGGAAACACGGACACACCTAAAATGGCAAAGTATCCGTGTCGGACACCGACACAACCGGACACGCCAAAAAATTTGTTTGAATTTTATATTTTTTAATATTCGGACAAAGCACAGACATGCCGTGGATACTTGTCCGACATGCGTGTCCCATTCTTGGGTTTTTTTTTTTTTTTGATAAGTAAGGCATTCATGGGGATTTTTAAGGAAGTTTTATAAAGAAAGCTGAAGTGTAAATATGAGAAGTTGTTTAATAAATTTTTAGTAATATGATGACCACTACATAATTACCTAGAAAATGTTTTGTAAAACAATTTTATATTAAAACAACCAGATATTTATGCTTATAAGGTTCAAACTCTTGCACTATCCTTGTTCTCCCACCAACCAAGCTTCATTGCTAGTGGATCTCTCTCCCCTCTTTTCTCACTTCTTCTTCGCCGTCGTCTTTTATTTCTTCTTCATCTTCTTCTAACTTTCTATAATTCTTTCTTTTTCAAGCAAAACACTTTCTTTTTTTTTTTGTTCATTAATAGGTTCATAAAAATAATATTACTCTTAAATCTTCATTTCTTATAGTACATCATCATCATATATAAAAAACATAGGCCTTGTTTGGTAATCGTTTTTGTTTATTGTTTATCATTTAAGCTTAAACACTGTGAGTGTTTATGTTTAGCTTTTGTTTATCGATAAACACAGACATTGTTTGATAACGTAAAAATGTTTTGTCTTATTTTAAAAATAATAAACAGAAAAACATGTTTGTTAAACTTAAACTGTTTTTAAAAAATTCAACACCAATTTTAAACAAATAATAAAAGTATCTATGAAGTGTCAATTAATTTCTTACTTATAATGGCTTTCAAGTAACAAATTGCTACTCTAATTAAAAAAATTCTTTTCTTTTTCGAAAGGTACTAATTGCTTAAGTAATATTTCAAGACACCCATTATGAAGTCCCACCAAAAGATTGTAGGAATGAAACTTTGGATTTCTTTATTCTTTGGCTTGATATACAAAGATAAGTGACCCACTTCTTTTCCAATTAATATAGACAGTGTATATCTATATATATTGTTAAGTATTTTGTCTTATGTTTTGACCCACTTCCACTGGGACCATTGCCACTAATATATATATATATATATATATATATAGTGTATGATGTATCTATACATATATCTCACTATGTATATATATATATTTGAAGTTTATTTATGGAGTTTTGTCGCTGTTAATCAGAGTTCCTTGCTAGCCCATATCTTTACAGGCTTGAAATTCAGTACGTCTGTTCTAGTCCAGTACGTAAGTACACACACACACACACACACACACACACACACACACAACTCTCTCTACTTTCTCTCTATATGATTATACAAGTATATGTTACTAATTTGGGTTTTTGGTATGACTCGCCACTATTATCATTTCCGGCGAGTTGGGTTTCGATGATGAACGGCGGCTACAATAGCTCGGTGACGTTGCTATCGGAGGACAACGAGAGGTTGAGGACGAGCAACATCATATTAGAGCACCATAAATGATTCTTTTTTCATTGGACTCCTAGATCCTCTAACAAGGTTGCTCACAACCTTAGCAAATGGATGTTCGTCAAAAAACTATTGGTTTTTAGTGGAATGTGGCCCTCTTGGTTATCTACAGCCATACAAAATGATGTAAATAGTTACCAAACGGGGACATATTTATTATTTGCGCCTTGTCCGTGTCCAAATTTATTAGGATTTTCCGTGTCACTTTGTCTGTGTCTTGTCGTATCCATGTCATCCGTTTCCGTGCTTCTTAGGATCTATAACAGGTATCCAGCTCTTATGAGCTTGGCTTGAGTTGATACTAAATCTCCAGTCCTAGCTGCTTTGTGACACTATTAAATTTCTCACCGACTTTTATTTAACAATCTTTTGCCCCAGGGTTGAAGCTATTCTTTTAGGAGGTAGGTGGGAAAAGGGGATGACTTTATTTTACATCTCATCCAATAGTGTCCTTACTTGAGCAGTTGCTGGTGCTGGATTCATTTCTGATTTAAAATGACACCTTGATTGATGATTAATTTACTGGTTTGCAACTGAATGCAGGTCACTGTCAACTTTGATACCTAAGAGCTTGTTGTATACAGCATGGCCAAGCATCATCCTGATTTGATCATGTGCCGGAAGCAGCCGGGAATTGCAATTGGACGACTATGTGAGAAATGTGATGGGAAATGTGTAATTTGTGACTCTTATGTACGTCCTTGCACACTTGTGCGAGTTTGTGATGAATGCAATTATGGATCCTTTCAGGGCCGTTGTGTTATCTGTGGAGGAGTGGGGATTTCAGATGCCTACTACTGCAAAGAGTGCACGCAGCAGGAGAAAGACAGGGACGGGTGTCCAAAAATTGTCAATTTGGGAAGTGCCAAAACAGATCTGTTCTATGAGCGTAAAAAATATGGTTTTAAGAAACGATGATGGTTAGTGGGTAGTTTTCTCACTAAGTTATTCACTTTTGTCCTTGTGTACTTCTATTAACAGACAAGTTTTGTAATGTTGGAACAATATTCTTGGTTTTATGGTTCCATTGGAAGACATTATGAGGTTGTTTTTTCCTATTGATATAAGAAGAAAAATCCCTATCTAAATGGAAACCTTATTAAGACTTTTGCAATAACTATGTGTGTCTCTCTTCCTGTTGTATATTGCATGTAATTCTTGTCAAATATCTTCACAAGAATGCTGTTATTTGCGCGTTAAAGATTGTGTGTGTGTGTGGTGGTGGTGGCGGCGGCAGTGATGGTAGTTGGATGGCATTTGTATTGGTGATGGCCAATACATACTGGTGGGGTGGTGGTGGTCAAGAGTGGGTGAAATGACCAGTGATGGTTGCATAATATTATCCCACAGGTTTCAAAGCCTTCTAATTCGAATAAGATGACGAGGCAAGCAATTGGATGGTCACATACTTCAATCTTTTTCATTTACTATTGTTATTAGTCTTTCTGTTAAGAGCAAGCTTGATAATGCAGGAAAAAGCTATGATGTCAACGTATGGGCACACGATGGTAGGTGTGGAACCAACCCGCGTGTGGATGTAAAGCCCTTCGGCTCCCCATTCCGGTGGTTGGTGTGGGACTAACCCTAGTGTGGATGTGGAGCGCCTCTGCTCTCTGCACTCCATTCCAGTGGCTTCTCCGGTCAATTAATCATTTATATATATATATATATATATGTACAGGTCGAACACTTGGAAGTGTTGGGCCAATGGGTGCGTCTTTCTCCCTCATGGTACCCAAATGCCGTTAGTGGGGAGAGAGAAACCTTATGCCATATCTTTGACTTTGATACAGAAACACACATTGCCATTGTGGTAGCAATGATATGATACAGGAATATGTATGTGTTGTTATATCACTTGTACAATCCAGTACGGAGGCAACAAATAGCAAAATACATGAGTACCAAATACGACGTTCACTTATCCTCTTTTCAGCCAAATGCTCCTAGAGTCCAAGCTGCACTTACTGTAGCTAATTTTTTTTTCATTCTTTTTTTTTTTTTTTTTTCTTCTTTGTGTGCACGCGCGCATTGAGAAAGAAAATGTGTTTCGGTGAACTGAGATTAATTAGGATTTGGATTTTTTCGGAGAGAACATGTAGTCCAATATTGTTGGACTACAAGCTGATCAGTGTGATTTTGGGTTTAAAAAAATAAACAATATTGGATTTATTTTAGGATGAATGAAATATTAAAAAGGGACATTTAATTTGAGAGGAATGAATATTTCTTTTCTTTTTTTTTTCATGCAAATATAAATATAAATATATATATCTATATATATATATATATTTTTTTTTTTTTTGGGGTAATTTTTTTTTAAGGTATTTTGTGACTTTTTTAAGTAAAAAGTAAGCGACGGCAACACGTTGACCCAAAATGAACGGTTAGGATTCGCTATCTGAGAGGCCTATGTTTGTACCACGAACGTGTTGCGCACGATTTGCAAACGTCAACTTCATCTAGCAATTACACTTCGCCACGTGTCCCACCCGCAAACCTTATAAATTATGAACGGCGGTTAGTTCGCCCCCATCATACCAGACATCCGATACGCAGAATCCACAACATATACTTGCATACATACATACATACATATATATATATATATAGATACAGACAGAGAGAAGGAGAGAGAGAGATGACGAGTGGACTTCGACTCTGCTGGTGCCTCTTTTTGGCCTTTGCGATTATCTGTTCTGCCCCTTACACTGTTTCTCTGTCGGGTACGTGATATATATATATATATATATTTGTGCATATGCATTGTATGGCTCGCATTAGTAGTTTGATGCTCGTATATGTGGAGTTTGATCAGATGGTGTAGAATGGTTTTGGAAACGGTACTCGATTTTCATGCATGTGATTTATGTACAATTACATGCATATTTGTAAGAATAGAGATTTCTTGAAATGTTGCAAGTTCTTAACTTACCTGTAATATGAGGCATTATTAGTAAGGGATCAGTGGATTGCTTCTCAAAGAGAAGTAATGGGTTAGTCTGAGAGAGAGACAATTGTTATTCCCCTTTTATTATTATTATTTTATTTTATGGTTTTATAGTTTTCTACCTGTTTTTTGATAATTATTTGTAAATGACAAATCCAACGTACCCTAGTACTACCTATATTAGTAGTTCACTATCTTAATTTTAGATGTTCTGAATTAATTATCCATTTTAAAAAGTCAAAGCAAATAAATCTTATCTTTTCATTATTGGTCTTTATATTTTCAACAAAATTTGAACTTTGAAATTATACATATCTAAACTAAAACGGACAAGTTGGTAATTTTAAAAGGAGACAATGTATTAATTACTTGTTCTTTTAAAATTTTCAATTTTTAAACATGCACAATTAATATAGGACGATAGACATCTAATATTTTTTTCGTTTCAAAGTACATAACCGCTTTACAAATTGTGACACATATTATTTATGACTGACAAATCCAACGGACCTGGTATAATTAATGGAGTATGAGCATAACTCTCTAATATGGAGATAATAGGCTGTATGAAAGTTGAAATGATTTTTCTCTCTCTACAAGTTCGGTAGATGATTAATTGAACCATTAGAAGAGAGTGATCATTAGCCTTATCAATGATAGGTCTAGACTTGACCGTCAAATTAAGTACCTTTTCGAACCAAATAAACGGTCTCTAACCTCACATGAAAATACACACATTTTGATTCTTGAAGAGTCATCAATCTACTCACAGGATGCTTAATTTTTTGAAAAAAAATTGTACGCAGTCTTATTACTATAAATGTTTGTTACTTGTTTTTTGACACATAAATTATCGGAACTATTCAATTTCTTATTTTTAAATTCTATATAGAAAATCAAATAATAATTTATTTATACCAAGATACTATTAAGTATCAAAAGGCTTTATTTTTAGGACAACTCTTGCCTACGGTGAATAGGTTTATTCTATTGATCGATTATGTGTTGTAATAATAAGTGGACACATCAGTTTTAATGATAAAAAAAAAAAATAAATAAATAAAAAGGTAATAAAAAAAATAATAATAAAGCCAGATCGACCCGCTTTAATTCGGTAGCTGTATTCAAACCCTATATATTTTTTCTCTCTTTCACCCCCTTCCCAAATTCACACCGTCCTCCCTCCACTGTTCTTCTTCCTCTAGTCTTTCATGGAACATCATCAATCAATAAGAGAGCACTTTTGCAAAACCTCTCGGACTTCAAATCACTCAATAAGCAAGGGTGGGTTGTGGAGTTACTATTTGATCACACTATTATTATGATCATATATGCTTTCTAGTATGAATTGATTACGTATGTTTAGAAATCAAAAAAGCAATTGATGTAATAGCTTTGTTGGTAGAAAATTAAATAGAGCTTCTCAAGTTTCTGCTACGATCGTGTTAGTCAAAAAATTCTGGTTGATTAATTTCTGGTAAAAAAAAAATTCTGATTGATTTGTTTATTTACTTGAAAAAAATATTTTATATATCACATTAGATGTTATAAATAACATAAATTGTATAATCCAATCTAGGTACATCTTCAAATCCATTGAAGACGTAGTGAGAAGAGAATTAACAATAACAAGGCCTATTGATTAATGATGTCCCGTAAGGAGAAGAAGAACGGTGAATAAACTGGGATGGAGTGAAAGAGAGAAAAAAATAAAAAAGGGTTTGAATACAAGCTATCAGTTTGACAATTATCTAGTTGAAATAGGTTGATCTGACTTTATTATTTTTTTTCTATTATTTTTTTAAATTTGTCTTAAAATATGTCAATTTATTATTAGAACATATAATCGGTGAGTAATGGAACCTACTCACTAGTAAATAAGCAAGTATTGTCATTTTCAGAGTTATTTTTTTATGCCTAAAATTGCATTTAGCCGGTCATGGATGTGAGCTTGAGTCATCGCATTGAATAAATGAGTTTAGATGCTATAAATTAGTGTCTACTAGTACTTAATAGTTATAATCTGAATAATAATGTTTATAGTGATACATCATACATGGTCTCTTACAGGAGATGAAATGATGGTGGTGAGCAAGGAAGGTCGGTCTCTGGAAGTGAAGCTTGACGATTACAATGAAGCATCGGCGAACGAAAGGCACGATCCCCGGAACAGAGCAAGCGCTAGCAGTGGCAGTGCAGGTGGTCGGAAGAGCCGCAATCCTTAATTCTCCATCTTTATATATACCGTTTGTGATGGAAGATTATTGTTCCTAGTGATAATTGCTCTGTTGTTTGAAATGCATGGGATTTGGTGATATTTGAAATTCAAAATAGAATTTTCGTCTTTGAAATGTAAAATTGGAATTTATGAAATTTGATGTATCAGTTTTCGAATACTTATCTGGTATTCTCAATACATCATTTCATAAGGATTTAGAGTTTAGGGTTTAAAATTTATTTTACTCTTTTTCTTTTTCTTTTTCATTTTTTTTTTTTTTTTTTTTTTGGAAAAAAAGGGAAGAGCCTGAACACAAAATGGCCCAACGGGGAGAGAGCTCCGAACTCAAAGCTACAGCCTAGCTAAGCAAGCCCAACATTATCAATTACATCAAAAACCCAAGCCCCAACGGCCCAGCCCATTGACAATCAACTACCGCTCAATATTTTTATGCCGTTTGTGATGGAAGATTATTTTTCTTACTGAAAATTATGTTATTTACCTTTTTAAGATTTGGAATTAAAAATAGAATTTTAGTCTTTGTAAATAGATAGATATAGTAAGAAGAAAAAGAAATGGAAATTTTCTAAGTGAAGGAAAAGAAAATTACTTTCTATAACCACTTAACTTTTTATAGATTTTTTTTTTTTTTTTTTTTTTCATTCACTTCACTTTAATGAATGACCCATTTCTAATTTGCGTTTCTTTGTAGGAAATAACATAAAAATTCATTATTTGCTTTCCTTTTTTACCTTCCGGGAAAAGAAAAATAATAATAAAAAAATAAATTCCACCGTATAGCTTAGAAATCGCTTTTCAAACCATAGCCCCCACTTGGAACATCTCTTGATTAATGATATTTCTTACTTTAAAAAAATAATAATAATAAAAAGATTTGCTTCATCTAAGTCACTCCTTTGATCCTCCCAGACCTGAAAACTTTGTGTAATTTGACAAAGCACCAATCAAATCATCCCATACTATATACAATCACACATATAACACATATATAATTATATATGTACACCAATTATGAATAAAAAAGAGTCATACGTTGTTAACGCCTAAAACTATGATCGAAAATTATCACGCCACGTGGTTGAAAATCACGAGGACTGGACTCTGGATCAGCCCATGGTCGTCGGGGCGAAAGATTAATTTACTAATCATGATCATTGGAATTAAGGCCGAGAATTATGGAAGATGGAATTCCTAGGTCATTACAACTGAGATAAAATAGTAAGAAGCTCGACCAACCATGTTCAAAAGTCTCGACCAAATTCACTCGGTCACCGTGACTTAAGAATCTTGATCAATTATGGTCAGGAGTCTCAGTCACTATGACTGAAGAAGGTCTCTCGATCACTATGACCCAAGAAAGTTTATCGGTTACCAGGACCAAGGTCTCCCAGTCACTATGACCTAAGCATCTCGACCAACCATGGTCAAGCGTCTCGACCAAAGTCTCTTGGTCACTATGACCTAAGAGTCTTAATTAGTCATGGTCAGGAGTCTTAGTCACTATGATTGAAGAAGATCTCTCGATCACTATGACTAAACAAAGCCTCTCAGTCACTATGGTTGAAGAAAGTCCCTCAGTCACTATGGCATAATAGTTTTGATCAGTCAGGGTTAGGAGTTTTAGTCACTATGGCCTAAGAGAATCTCTTGACCAATGACCGAGTATACGCCTAATCATTGGACAAGCTCAGGCCAACATGGATATAATATCTCGTCGGGTCATATGTACTTGAATAATTTTTGGTATAATTCAAATAAAGACCAGCTGTGAATCCTAATGCCTCAAGAACCAAATAAGTCAGGTTTGAAAACTTAAAGAAACTTGAAATAGGAAAGGATAACTTGACCATGTTTAAAGTTCAGAGATTCAGAACTACAAATGGAAGGTTCTCACATACATCTGAAGAAGGAAGTCAGAATCCTAAGTAATCAGAAGATTCCATAGCCAAGGTACATATCAAGTCAGGCTTAACAGATGCAGAGAGCTGAAAATAGACTGAAGGCCATGATCATCAAGCATGAAAGAAGATGCATCCTTTAGTCAAAAATACTATGCCAGACAAATTTGTATCTGCCCATAGAGAAATGTGCAAGTCAGTTAACCTGATCAGCTCAGTAAGATGGTTAGGATCATTTTCAACCTGCAACCAATTAATTTATAGAAAAACAGATTGAAAGGGACAATACCAGATTGAAGCCTCTATAAATACCCACTCAAGTCTCACAACGAAGAGATCCAACACCATTTCTAAAGCTCAAGCCTTTAGCATTCATATCACTTAGTACTTAGCTTTTATTTCCTCAAGTTTAGTTATCACTATCAGTTTAATATTTATTTCATCTTTCAGCATTCAATACTTTAGTTTCCATTTTAATCAAAAGTTTGTAATCCATTCTTATCATTGTAATCAATCCAAAGTTCAATAAAAAAAGGTTTGCAGATTTAGGTATATTTATTGTTCAGGTAATTTGCTTCTCATCGATATCTTTCTTGAATGTTTAAAGTCCTTTTCTTAAAGGCAATAACAACCTTAAGGAGAGGATCATTCATACTCTCCAACTTTTGCCCGAATCACATTAGGTCGGTGACCCGACCTGATAGAAATAGTTTGACAAGAAATCTTTGAGTCCATCAGGACTCTAGCACGCCCGCGTTTTAGGTCAGCCATTCATTGGTCTGCGACCTCAGACCACTTTGTGAGCCAAACAACTGTTTATATTAATTTTTTTTATTTTATTTGTGTACTTTGTAGCATGGTGATATGCAACTAACCCTCTCGTTCGTGCAAGTAGTACAATAATAGTACAATAATAATACAATAGTTGGAAAAAGGAAAAAACTAGTAGTACGTAGATAGAACGTCAAAAATTAGATTGATATATAATAATAATAATGATAATAAAATAAAATTTAAAGTCATCAGCAAAGTCATTGATACCTAAATAAATGAAACTTGAATTTGGATAAGTCAAAAGAAAATTTAGATACTTCATCCACATGAGGGAAGTGAACTAAGAAGTTAAAGGTAAAAAGAAATCTAGTAAAAAAGAACTTTTGATTTTGTTTTTTGAAAGGTAAATTTCAATTGAATAAATATAGAGTAATTGTACAAGGCCCATTATAGAGGGCAATTAAGAAAGGTTAAGGCTAGCCTAACAAGAAGTGAGGCCAAAAAAAGGTCCAGCCCAACTAGAGGTCAAAATAAACATGATCAATGCCTATGAGCAACATGACACATGAACAGAACATTCACAATTTCGATGAACATGCTATTACTAGCCAGAGCTTTGTAACAATCCTAGTCTGGGGGACATGGAGGAGGTCGAATAACACAACTTGGGAGTTCCCATTCATCAGCTATGTGCCTTGAGATCACGGAATCATGCATTGGGCAAGTCATAAGTTTCAATTTGACTGCTTCAAATATTATATTGAGGACTGAATTTGCTGAGAGGTATTTTTTCTTGAAAACTCTACGATTACGTTCCATTCAGATATTATACATTGTGGATGTGAAGATAATTCGCGTTGTGACTGTTCTATAGCTAGATGTTTTGCCCTTCTAGTTGTGTGATCCCCAGGATACAAGCTCATTCCATGATTAAAGATCAATATAGAATGAACAGCGTGTTTGGATAAATACCCAAATGAGAGATGTGAAAAAACATTGGATAAACAAATAGTTATGGGATTCAGGTAAGAGTTTATATAGAAGGCATATGTTTGGTGAGTTTAAGTATGATGTGCAGTTTTTATCTAGGGTAGGAAGTCTTGATTGTATATATAGCCAACCATAGGAAAAAAGGAATGCTTGAGAATAGATGGGTTTGACCAAGCTAAATGTGGCCATGGCAGAGAAGGAATGTGTTGGGATAGGTGTTTCAGATTATGGCTAATAAAGAACAAACCTGATAGAGATGGAATCTATTTGAGATTGTCAGGTCTAAGTGGGTTAGGGAATAGAAGAAGATTGACATCAAGAGCTCTGAGATAAGAATGGTGACTGCAGTAGGAAAGTTCCTTATGCTATTTAGGATGAAAGAGCTCACTATGGTATTGCAATCAACTGCAGATTCATCAAGATTTTGTCTTGATAATCTATGGTGGAGAGGGCCAAAGTGTAACCAGTTGTCAAACCAGAAATTGGAATTGATCCATTTCTAATTTCAAGCTTGACAAGAGGCTGGACTACGAGCTTGAGTTGTAGTATTTTCCTCCAGCTCCATGAACATTGACTTGGTATCTTAACCTCCCACACACTATTTCGTTTAAGAAAATATGTTTTAACCCAAGTGATCCATAACATACTTTCTCTGTTGCTGATGATGTTCCAGAGGTGCTTCATGATGGCTACACGATTCCAAGCTTGAAAATTTGAAATTCCCAACCCACCTGCTCTCCAAGGTAGGCAAACTGAAGACTATATAACTTTAGCACTGTACTTTTTAAGCTCAGGACCTGACCAAAAAAATGCTCTGGAAATACAGTTGAGCTCATTTAGTACACTCCTTGGAAGGATGAACTTAGAGCTCCAATACATCGGGGTACTATGAAGGATTACTGTAATAAGTTGGAGTCTCTTTACAAATGAGAGAACCTTGCTAGCCTAGTGCCTAATTCTAACAGTAACTCTGTTGATTAAGGTTCTACAATTAGTGGACCTCAACATAGTTGTTACCAAGGGTACCCTAAGGTATCTAATAAGAAGGATTCCTTTCTCAAACTCAACTTGCTTAATTATTTGAGACTCCACGGATGGATGAATGCTAGATAAAAAAATATAACTCTTGTTATTGTTGATGTGAAGTCCATAGATGGAGGAGAATGTATTGATGGCTGTAAGGAGTGTTTGGACAGAGGGTAAACTCCCATGATAAAAGAGAATCACATTATCAACAAAGATGATGTGCATGAGATTAAGCTTTTTACATCTCCAATGGAATTTGAAAGGATTTTCAATGGTGACCTTGTTGCGGATTGATGAGAAGACCTACATTACAATAACAAATAAGAAATGTGAAAGGGGATTACCTTGCCTCAATTCCTTTGCTCTACTAAAGTAACCATGGAATTCACCATTGATTGAGATGGTGTATGAAGTGGATAAGATACAATAGTGGATCCATGCAATGAAGACTAGTGGGTAGCCAAGTAGATTGAGGTGTCAAGTAAGAAATCCCATGATACAAAATTGAAAGCCTTCCTCAGATCAATTTTCGTTGGACATTTACGTGAGAATGTATGTCTCTGATATCCATTAAGCAATTCTTGTGTTATAAGGATGCTGTCATCAATGAGTCTACCTTAGACAAAAGCTGATTGGGAAGGACCAACAATAGAAGGGAG